TGCTTTATCAGAGGAGCTTGTATCAGGCAATACCTGGAGTGTCTCCATTAATCCAAATTTTAAAAACCAGTAACTGAAACAAATCAGTATTTGTGCACTGACTGGAAAGAAACCCTTGCAGACTCACCACGACTGAAAATGTCTTTCTGTGTCTATATGACTCCCTCCTCTATCCTTCTCTAAAAAAAGAAGGGTCAAAGCAAAATGCTGGCAGCTCAATGAAATCTTTGAAGACACAGTGTGCTTTCCAGTTATGAGAGGATGGAAAAATGAGAACCCTGGAGATCTTTTGGGAACATTAGGCTTTATTAATCAGGAATGTACTTGCCACATACCAACATTCCCAAACGGTACACTGAACCAGATAAATGCCAGGGAGTAACAGAACCCATCCAGCTTGGTTTTCTGTCTTGTGGGAAGTTCCAGCACGCTCTGGGAGGTAGTTTTCCAAGCCATTCCTTAAAAAAAAAACCCTCCCCTGCTTCCATAGTACCTATAGGTTATGTGTTCCAGCACTTTACAACCCCTACAGGCAGAACATGGCTCCTAATATCTAACTTGGTAATTTTCACTGCTCATTGAACTGATTTCTTTAGGTCTTTCTCCCAATGGACATGAAGAACAATTAATCACTGTGCTCTTGATTATAAATTTTCACTCAATGGATTTTTATTTTTTTTAGTAGATTCTCGTTAAGGTACAACAAAATCAACACTTTCAGAAGTATATAATGCCAGGTAGGGCTCCTACACATCCTCTTGCCCCTGGGCCAGATAACAATCAACCAGTTTCTGCTTTCTTCACAATTTTAAGGCTAGGACAATTTCTGCCTTGACAAACATTTTTGACCTCTCCACATTTCCACTGGGGTTTCACAGGTAGAAATCAGGGCAGAATTTATCCCCATGAGTTTCTGGATTAATGCCTTGGTAAAGGAAGGGGAAAAGGCAAAATTAATTCTCTTTGTTAGTGCTAATGCTATTCCTCAGGGATAGTTGGCCCCAAGACATTCATCTTTGTTCAAAGCAAGCACACTTCCATACTCATTTCACATTTGCAGCACAGCTTCTACAAGCCAATATCTGCATAAAAAAAAAAAAAAAAAAAAAAAAGGCTTAAACTCACGAGAGTCTGCATTCTGTTGGAGGACCAGGAACTGAGAATAGACTCAAAGCCCATCTTAGCCCACCTGAAATTCTAGCTAAAACATCAAGTTATAGGAGGAAAGGTCAGGTCCCAGATCCATCAAGAATCATGAGGATTCTTGCACTGAAAAGAGCATGGTAGTGCATGTAGTGCTCGTTTGTTGCTTCAAAACTCTTCCTTCATCTAAAAGCAGAGCTGTGATGGACGAAGGCCTTCCCAGCCCTGACATCCTGACGCTACACATGCAGCCTGCACTCTGGGATGCCAGCTCACTGTGTCACATTGGCTTGGGTTCTGCCCCTTCCTTTCCTTATGCCTGCAAGCTCAATTGAACTTATGAAAATTCAAACTGTCTTCTGTCTGTTTCATACATCATCAGCAAACAATCACTAGACAAAATGAATTTGCTCTCTGTAATTTGGAGTTTACACAAATGCCTCTGCTGTATAATGCAAAAAAGAAAAAAAGGAATAAAGTTTGGTATGCAAGGTTAACTCAGCATGGAGCAAAGTAGCAAAGAAACAGAGGGAGAACACAAACAATAAAATACTCAAAAGTGGGGAGAGTGACATGAGAAATACTTCTGTAAATTGGAGTTGGTCTTGCTACTTTTGAGTGATGGAATTAAACAAAGGCACAAGCGAGTTGTGAAAGATCACCCCCAAGAGTGCCTGTATCACCATTCCTCATGATTTGTCTACACAACATATTTATTTATAATAACAATGGTTACTATTTATCTCCTAAGAGCTCTGCAAACACAAATTCACAAATTCAATAATGTTCACATAGCTGTATCATTTGAACCAGATTGAAAGAGTGATCTGCTGAACAAGGCACAGTGAGGTTAAATGACTTGTCCAATGCCACTCATTATCCATAATGAGTATTAGTATCCACTCAGTATCCATAAAGATTAGAACACCAGATCTCTTGGTCACTGATCAGATCAGGCTGTGTAAAGCTGAATTCTTGACAAACCAACCTCTTTTTTAACAAAAATAACATTGCCCTTATTGCCCTCAGCCCATGGCAACATAACTAAAACTATTGCTTTGAAAGCACATACTTTTCTTTCACACACAATATGTGTGCTGTCATTGTCTCATTCCAAAATTATGCAGACACTGAGTGTGAGCAGAGGTGTCTCCTCATGCTTGACTTAATCCTATTTGGGGTTAGTTGCAAACAGCAAAGTACTAAACCACATCCTTAAAGTTAAGCATTTGATTAGTCCCATTGACCTCAAAAGGTCTGCTTGCCTATCAACCCAGATGATTTCAGTTCAGAGAACCCAACACAGCAAGAATCCAGCCCACAAACCTTTTGCATTAGGAGAATATCTGTACCATATTCAGCAAGGGGAGTTTTTCATGCAGCTGTCTGACAGACGTTCAGGTGATGTGTATCAATGCTTCTTCTAATGCCACGTACCAAGTATTTTTTATTAGACAAAATTTGGCTCATCTCATATTAATCATTCACTTTAGGGACATCCCTACATTAAAGCAAGATTTCCACCCTTTAATTAAGGAAATAAATAACAAAACTACCAGGATATGGCTTGCCTTTTCTCTTTGCTGTTTTTGGGTTAATACAGGAAAGCGCAAATAACAGGTTCACCTTTTTAAGGATCTTACAACTAGAAACACCTGATTACAGGAACCAGCGGAAACAAAAGAAATCCTTAAAGCATACTTCCCTCTATAAAAAGTGTCACTATTTTTATTGTGCCAAGCAACTATTTACACGGACAAAAGGTATAGCAAGAACCACATCCTCATTTTACAGGAGATATGTGCTTATGTAAAACTTTCCTCACCATGTTCTTCTGCATTCCAGAAGGCAGGCTATGCCAAGGCTACAGAACTTAAAAGCAGCTACAAGCTTAAAAGTGGGGGTGTTAATGAGTTTTGTTGTTGTTGTTGTTGTTGTCATTTCTTTTGTTTGTTTCTGGGTTTTTTTTAGCTATTAGGACAAGAAACTCAAGGATTAAAAATATGGGCCTTTACTTCATGGAATGGAAAGAAGACCTAGGCAGAACAGTCTTAGGAGTCATGATCCCACACTCCATTCCCACTTTGACCACTGATTTATTTGGACCTTGAGAAAGCTGCTCAACATCTCTGTGTGAATGCACTTGACACTCTTGATAAAAAAAGGAAACCAAAAATATTTCCTGAACATGAGTTTTACACTTGTGTATTCATTTTCCCTTCAAAATCTAGAGCCTCATATAACTAAAAAAAGGTTATCCCAGCCAGCACCAATTGATACTCTTATTTTGTCTTGGGCTCTCCATGCAAGACTTAGTGACCATCTGGATCCTAAGGATCATCCTGGATTCAAAGAACTTGCCTTAATTCACTCTTACACTGCTGCTGCATTTTGGAAAGAGAATTACTCCTGCTTTCCAACAAAAATTTTCCTGGTTGTTCACACTAAATTGCAAGACAAGCATGACATTTGCTACTCACAGATTCAGAAGAGTTCCCCCATTTTTCCCTGAACACCTCCCTTTAAATTGCTGCTGGACCCAGGAAATCCATGACTGTTCTCAACTCGGCTCACCAGTGTAATTGCAAGGTTAACCTCTGGTGGCCAGGGAAGCTGCTCACATTCAGCAATGAAGAGCAGAAAATGTTAAATACCATTCACTGGCCACAGCCTGCAGTTAATACACAATATTTAAACAACACAATGGCATGGCCCTTGCCAGTAATGTAAAAACACAGTGGAGTAGAGCCAGAATGGCACAATCTGCCTGTCTGAGTCATGCTTGGCGCTGTGTGCTGGAGGGAAAGGCTTTAGCTGCCCACAGTGTAACTGTACCCTCCAGCTAGTTTACAATAAAACATTAAAATATATTAAAAAAAGGGGCTGAGGGGTGTGGTGTTAAAGGCATGATAAATCCCCTCTAATAGTTAAAATATTTTAAAACTGAAGTATGAAAGTACCACTTTGGAAGAAGGCTCTGGATTTCATTAGAGACTGCACATTTTGATCTTAAACAAGAAAACAAACTGACTTTGCTTTGTAATATTCCACAGCTTTGTACTGTTCAACTGAAATCGATCTTTTTCCTTCTTTCTAAAAGCTTCCGGATTTTTTTCATCTATTATTTCATTTAATTAAGAGTATCTGAATCTGCTATATTTTCAAATCTTCTTTTGCATGTCTGTTGTTAAGTCACTGAAGTTCCAAATCTTAATTATTAACCCAAATACATTCAATAAACAGATTCTAAATAACAGTAGACTTAGAGTGATGTGCAATCTGACTTGCATTTATGGAATAACTATGCTCTTAGAAAAATACTCCTTTCTTCCTGAGACATAGATGTTATTTTGACTGTTTTGTTGTGTCACAGGAGAGATGAATTAGGCATTTCTGCCTTCATCTGCACCCTAAAGCAGCTGAAGTCCCCTGTGATGTCATCAGAAAGTTGTTTGTTTTTTTCTCATACAAAGGAGAAGAATTTGTTATGACATCATGAGAAGAGAATAAACTGTATTTTGTGCTATAAGGAATCTTCTGCTACTTTCTGTTATGTCTGCAGCAACGTGCAGAAATCCTCTCTGACAAAGCGACAGCAACTGTAAGTCAACAGAGATGCACAGTATTCCTAATACCATTCAAAACAAAGCAGGAAAGAATGATCTATTCAGTGCTCTGAAATTAAAGATCTGCAAGATGTAAGTTCCTTTTTAATTTTTAAATAAAACATCCTTTGAACTTCTAAATCCCATTCAAGGGGATTCTGACCTTTATCCAAGACCAGCTACTGTGCTAACACTTTGGATGCATATAGAGGAAAAATACGGACAAAAGGTACCGGAAAAGCTTTTACTTACAGGAATGCAGTGTGGCTTAATCTTTTTGTTTTTAAGGTGCAGTGATTTCAGCATCTACAATGTAACTTCAGGCAGTCTGAAAAGAAACAGGTTAAAATCTCTTTCAGTTATAATTGGTATTTCAGATTTAATTAAAAATTAAACTTTCATAATGTTTCACCATCCAAAGCAATGCATTATCAGTCAAGCGTAGCCTTTTTTTTTTTTTTTGTTAAAAGAAGCTCTTCCCAGAGTAGTTTGCAATGAAAGAAAAAGGGAAAAAAAGCAATTGAGAGTAGAAAAATATATTTCTTCAGCAAAAGATCTCTGAATAATTTGGAAGGAAGCCTTCTGCCACTTAATTTTAACAATCAACCTTATACTAATTAAAAAAAAAAAACAACCACAATTAAAAAAGACAGAAAAACACCACCACATACCAAAGACTGTGAGGATAAAAATGTTAATTTCAGCAAAACAAGGACATTGCTAGGACCAGAACATACGCACCAAAAGGGAAAATATGGTTTTACATAATGCCAGCCAACAACATTTTTTACAAATTCGTTCTACAGCATGCAGCACTTTCAGACTGTTGCATGGAGAAGCAGAGGAAGACAAGTTCAAAAAGAGTAAAGCTGTTTTTAAAGTGTACAAGGCAAAAAGTCCCTTGCAACCCTTTGTTAAGGGATATGAAATAGCTCATCTATAAAACTGCGTGGTTTCTTATCATGTAAAATAAATGTCACATTACTGTGCAAAACAGATGATTAAGAAGTGATAGCTGCAGACACAGCATTCGAACAGATGCAAAAAAATATTTTTTTTCAAAATGCAGTTGAAATAGTTAGAATGACAATAAAACTCCAGGGGTTGTACCATAAATATGAGTTTAAATGTAAGACTGGATTTTGAAACCTGTGGTTTTAATTATATCTAATTATAAAGGCTCGAAAACCAGGAGAAACGAGAAAAACAAAAAATATTAATAATAAATTAAAACAATTTTGCAATAAGTTGTCAGGATTTGGCCTCGTAATAACAAACCATACAGCAGTATACACAGACACATACAATGTACCAATGACTCATTAAAGGAACAAATCAAAACTTCATTAAATTTTATTTTTAAAAGGTGACAGCAGAACTTGCCTAATTTACCCCATTCAAAGTCAAAGCTATTCTCCTTACCAGCAGCACACTCAAAGAGATGGTCAAATAAATCCCAGATGCAAATCTAATACTGTTTTTAAATGTACCACAGGCTGGGAGCAATTCCTAAGTGTAATTTTACTTTGTTCTCCCATAAGTAAAAATACAATTCCTCAGATGTCAGTGTTATATGAGGCTTCTCAATCCATCCTTATGGATCTTTAAAATAAAATGCACCATACCAGACAAAATACTGTCACACAAACATGTTCATACACACACCAATACCACAAACAAAAATGAGCTCACAAACTTCTCTGTAGGTTTAAGTTTTCCAGTCTGTCAAGGTCAGAGCTATTGAAGAGCAGGAGGCAAAACAGAAAGCACAGACGGGGACAGAACAGAAAGAACCAGAAACAATTCTTGAGCATTTGAATGAATGAGAGACCCCTGACAGAGGCACTAGGATGATGCTGCCACAAGATAACCTTTATAGTTTTGGATGAAATTTTTCCTGAAAGAACCACCTGACACGCATGTTCCTCTGCTCCTCTTCCTTTAGACAACCTTATATCAAGCAACTTTCCTTCTTTCTCCTGATTGACATCTAATAAGGTAGACAAACAGTGAAGAAATCCAGGCAAAAAATTGGTAAGTCATCAGCAGCAGGCAACAGCACAAGTGCCACATACGGGATAACAGTTTCAGCCTCTGAACTTCCATTTCTTTCACTTTCTTCCCCTTCCAAATTTACCCCTTTTCTAACATCTTCAGGACTGTAATGCTGGCTTGCTGGCAGGGAAGGAGAGGGGCAGCAGTATTTAAAATCCAAAGCTATTTCTTCTAATGAATGCAATGAAAAACTGACCTCAGCTGAGAAAACAAAGAGCATTCACTGAGGGTGAAATGTATTCCTGTGTAGAGAGCCAGTATAGAGACTGCACCACTGAAGCCCTATTCCAATGACCTAAATAGGAATAAATTGGTGCATGGACTTCACCACAGTGAATTTTGTCCAAAATTTTCATTTTTTTTTTTTTTAGAGAATGGGTGTCTCCTTGATAATATTAAGGAACTTGTCTTCAACAACCAGGTGATGAGGGAAAGGGAGGGCACTGGCAGACAAATGGACACACACAAACAAAAAAATAAGCCCTTTACCTTGAAGAGAATATTCAAATATACTCATGGGCCAGATAAGAAACCTCAATCCAATTTCAGAATCTAAACAATTACTTAGGATATGGCCCAGAATAATTATGTCACAGAAATGAAAAAGGAAACTCAACTGTACAGGTACCTCATCTAGCAACAAATATACAAACTCTGGAATTGGAACCAGTATAGACACACCAGCACAATGCTCTGTTCATGGTCACTGGCAAAACAAAAGAGCAAATCTTATTAACACAGATATGGCACTACTTTACTGCTTTTTTTTTTTTTTTTACGTGAATGCGCTTCAGTTGGTATTAACTCTATAAACAGCTTTACTTTTGTCACCTGTTCCTTGTCCTGAGTGGAGAGAATAAAAAAGAAAAAAAAAAAAACACTAATAGCAGTGCTTGAAAAATCCTCCGAAAAAGTTTGAATAGGAGCTCCTACTACGCTTTCAAAAATATGCTGGAATTTAGGTTATTTCCAGCTCTGCCTTCGAACTCATAGCCATTTGTGGCTCAAACCAGAGTCACAGGGCTGTTGATGGGAGAAACCTGGGGGGCTTTGTAATCTGGCAGAATGGGAGCAGAGGACAATCTACAGCATTGTGCTGGGATCAAGGGTTCCTCCCATTGCAGGAATGGACAACAGCAGATTGAAGGTTTCTTTGTCAAAATTGTAAATCTCCATCTGTTATTGGTTCACTGCAAAGATGAACACCCACTGAGATTTTTGTCTTCCTCATGGCATTCATCCTTCAAGTTTACTTTCTCAGAGAAGATGACACCCATTACAAATTTTAATTTCCAAACCATGGCTGTTTCAGCTAGAAAAGCATTTTAATCAGGAATAAGATGTATTTTTGGCTGCAAGTCACACACACCCCACATCCCCAAAAGTATCTGAACTATTTTTGTTCAGGTATGATAAAACCTGCCTTTGGGCGAAGACTAAGACTCCTTGAAATCTCACTTTCAACAAGTTAGAGAGACTCAACTGCATAAAAACTGCAATGCACAATCCACTCTAATGGTCACTTGGAAACAGGTACTGGATGCAATTTCTCCACAAGGGCCCTCAAACCTATTAAACATGTTGGATCTCTTAACAGCACAGTCCACCCCCCTCATTTATTCCTCCTGATAAGAGAGTTAGCAACAAGCACTTGAGAAGCCCAGCTGTGAAAGCACATGAGAAGCTGAACTTCTCAACCCACAGAAGAGTTGGTCTCTGTAACTGCACTTAGGATCTGACCTGGACTCCCAATGTTTAGGAGTTTAATGGGTAGTTCTGTTATAGTTAGGTGGGACCCAGCATCCTTCTAAATACCTCTTGAAGCTTTCCTCCTACGCAGGGGCGATGATGGTAATCAAGTTGGCTGCTGAAAACCATGATATTCCTTATTCCAACTGTTTTCTTGCACAAGCTGTCCCTAGATCCTGTTTATGTTCCCAAGGAACAGGAACAGTGACAGCATGCAGCTTTCATGAGGCCTTGCCCAAACAATTCTTTCTCTAAAGATACAGCTTTTTTTGTGAAGCAGCTCTGAAGCTGATATTTGCTGAGCATCTCTTGGAATACAGCTTGAAGACTTTACTTATGCCCTTTACAAGCTATTGTAGCATATAAGCTTCTCCCACTTCTTTTCAAGGTTCATAATGCTTTGATCTTCACAGCCTTACTGCTCCTGCTGAATGGTATCATCTCCCATGGCTCATATTATCTTTAGTGCATAAAATGATAATACCTGTTAAGAAGCAGGCTCTATCACATAATCACAACAGAGCCTTCACATTTATTCTGGTTTAACAGAGAAACTTACATCAATAAGTTTCATTGTGATGGGTGTTTCAGTGCAGTGACAAACTGGGCAGATAAAGGAAATGTGGTGGATATAATTTGTTTGGATTCTAGCAAGGCCTTTGACACCGTACCACACAGGAAGCTCGCAGAGGCACCAGAGAATTATGGTCTGAATACTGTTACAATAAGGTGGATAAAAACTGCCTGAGAATAGGAAGCAATGAGTTATTAATCAATGGTATTACAAAAGAATAGAAAGAAGAATCTACTCTGATGCTGAGCAACAGGTGCTAGAATTATTATCACTATATAGATTCATTAAAGATGAGAAAAAGAATGTAAATATTGACAGCATCCAAAACAGACGATTCAGAAAAAAGAAATTCATCAAATGTGAAAGGTATCAAAATTGTAAGATCCAAATAATGAAGATGTGCATGAACCAGAACAATGTGGTATTCAATGTATCTTAAAATGCAAAAAAGTTATCAAAAACCAATACAGAATTTTGTTTCAAACTCAGAAATAGAAGGTTTTCATTGTGTTTACTTGACTTCATCATGTTACTATGCACTGGTACAACCTAGCTGTGAAATTGGCCCCCTTGGAAAGCAAAATAAAATAATATATTTCAGTCGCTGTGGTAAGGGGCAATCATCTGGCCTATTTTCTTAGAATTTCAGTACTAATGATTAAAATTTTAATGTTTAGAGTAATCACATATAACATCCTGAAAGCCTTCTGTGGAAGCAAGGGACTCTTTTAGTTGTACTTCCTGAATTTCCACTGCCCTGCACAGCTAAAGCCATTTTGTTGCTGATTTCTGGTACAGGAGATGACATTGAGCTATGGTCACAGAGACCCTGTGGGTACTATCTCTCCACTTCCTTCACAGATCTGCCCCAAAAAAATTCAGCCTGACCCTTTCCTGTGAAAGGGCAAGATCCTGGATGAAAAGTAATGTACTTAGATGAAATTAAAAAC